GTTTTTCAAATGACCCTTGGTAATTTTCTTTTTTTTTTTTTTTTTTTTTTTTTTTTTTGGTAATTATCTTTTTCAATTAACATTTGCTGCTGATTGAGCCACAGTCTAAAGTAATTGTTTCTGGTAAATTCTTATAATGTTAGTGCACTAAAATGTGAGCAAGGAGTGTGTTTTACTTTGTTTACTGCTATATCTCCAGCCTGTAGAACAATGCCTAGTGCACATGGTTTTTTATGAATATTTGTGGTTTTAATGAATTGAGTCCATGGCTCCTTACTTCTTCTTTATTTAGTCTTAGAATAAGTGATAGTCTGCATCTTGTTCAAAGATAGTTCCTTTTCTTCAGAACCTAATCCTTTTTCTTCATACTTCCTTTAGGATCTTCCTTTGGAATCTTTCTCTTTCAGATAATTGAACTACCTCACTCTAATGCCTTTTTACCCTAAGCTCCAAGCTTTACTATACTGAGATATATCTTCTTTGACCATGGTTTCTTATCCACCAGGTTGTCTATATCTCTAGTTTCTTCTTCAGGGATACTCAATTAATTTTCAAAATGGACACACCTTTGTAACCAGCAGAAGCAGTAGATCAAGAAATAGAATATTACTTTAGCACCCAAGAAGACCCTTTCTGCACCTTCCTAGTCATTACCCTACCCCAAGGGTAACCACTATTCAACTTCTTTCACCAAAGATTATTTCTGCCTATTTTTAACTTTATGTAATCTATGGACTCTGTATCTGGCTTTTTTTGTTTAATACTATGTTTGTCAGAGTCATCCATCATAAATTGATACATCTAGTTGTAGTTGGGTTAATCTCATTGCTGTATATTATTCAATTATGTGAAAAAACTACAATTTTATTTATACATACTATTGTTGGTGGACAGTTAGTTTTCATTGGGGATCAATTACAAATATTGTTATTATGAACTTTCTTGTATATGTCTTTTTTTTGTTTTTGCACATATGTACACATTCCTTTGGATATGTACCAAAAGAAGAATTGCTGGGTCATAGGTTATCATAAGGTCAGCTTTTATTTATTTATTTAACTTTTAAGTTTTTTTTTTAAATGTAATTTTATTACTATTATTTTTTACATTCTAGGATGTTGTTGTGGAGCAGTTGGGAGGGATGTGGAGAAGGGAAAGGGGAAGGAAATGGGATGGAAGAATAAGGAAGAAGAAGGGGCAGGGTTGAGGCCTGTGGCACCCCCCTCATTCCCGCAGGGGAGACTGGGGGCCTTCCAGCACTGGCTTGGTCATTGCTGGTTGGGGTGCAGATGTCGGGGGGTATGGCAAAATGCCTTGCCCCCCACCATCCCAACTCGAGAACCAGAGCCCTTCTTGCTACAGCTTGGTGGTTGCCACTGGGCTGGCTATGGATGTCAGGGAGGCATGGCTGAAGCCGGAGGCCCCTCACTACCCAGACTTGGGAGAGCCCGAGGCGCTTCCTGCAGCGGCTTGGTGGCTGTGCTGGGCTGGCTGTGGGTGTCAGAGTGAGGTGTGGCCTAGGCCCTCGGTCCCCCACTGCCCCAGGTCGCGAGTGCCTGGTGCGCTTCCTGCAGCAGCTCAGTGGTCGCATGAGGCTGGCTGAGGCCCGAGGCCCCCCACCCTTGGGATTGGTTGTGGGTGTCAGGGGGCATTGCTGAGGTGCCTGGCCCTTCCCCCTTTCTGGCTTGGTAGCCCAGGGGACTTCCGGTCCTGCTAGGTGTTATAGGTGTTCTTTGGTGAAATGAGACCTTTGCTAATTAATATCAAACTTTGTCTCTGGTTGCGGGTACTTTGTTTTTTCTTTCATTTCTGTGTTGGATTATTTGCTGTTCCCACCATTTAAACTCTGCACTGGAACTGATTTGTTGTCCTTTGCTTACTTCTAAAATGGGGGAACTTCCTGTGGGGACCAGTACTTGAGCTCTATGGTTGAGCTAAGTTGCTGCTTTGCTGCTGATTCCCTAAGGAAAGCTTTTTGTGCAGCTAAGGTTTTAATGGTTGACTTTATAGGTACTTCTCTCAAGAGATCTGATGCACCTGGGTTCTGTAGAAACTCTGGTCTGGCCTGAATCTTTTCATCAAACTGTACCCATGCAATTCTGTATTCCTGACCAGTCTCCTCTGAGTGCTCCTTCACTCATTGAGTTACAGATCAGCTGTCCTTGCTGTGCCCAGTGTTCTCCCCATTGGCCCATCTCCCCCACCACCTGTGCTGCAAACACTTCCCATGGGATGGGTCATGCAACTTACTGGCCTCTGAGTATCTCCTTTTCTTCAGTCGTTGTGGCTCCTCGCTCCTATGTGAGTCCATGGGAACCCTATCAGTGGTCTTGCTGGCCTAGGGGCTGCCATGGCCCCTTTTCTCCCCTGCTCCCTGCAAGCAATTTCATCCAAAGGGCACAGCTGTGGCTTTTGATGGCTCCTGCTCCTTGCACTCAGTATCTCCAGCCTGGACATGGCTGGGGCTCAAAACAGTTAAAGTGGTTTTTTCTTTCTCTCATTATGGCTTCTCCTGCCTTCATGCACTCCATAGGTCTCTCCTTCTCTTCCCCTGAGCTCTAGAGGCCCCCGCTTGGCTGTCGTTGCTTTTTTATAGTTGTAAATTGGTTGATTTGTGGGAGAGAGTGACGCTGGGGACCATCTATTCCACCATCTTGACCAGAAGCTGTCAGGTCAGCTTTTATTGATACCACTAAAGAGGTTTCCCAAGTGGTTGTCCAAAATTACACTCTAACAGTGTCTGAGAGTTCCCAGTTGCTCCAAGATAACCTTATTGTGTATAATTTCTATACTCACTAGCTTGCCCTTTTTTTTTTTTCCTTTTTGTCTTTTTTACTGACCGGTAACGGGATCGCAACCCTCGGTGTTGCGCCCGCACTGCGCTCAGCCAGTGAGCGGGAACCGGTCTCCACATGGGATCCGAACCCTTGGCGGGAGCACCGCCACACTCCCAAGTGGCGCACTCTCCAGTGCGCCACCGGGCTGGCCCTAGCTTGCCCTTTTAACATAATATGATCTCATAGATGATCAAGTATAAATTCAACTAAATTTGAGTACATGAAAATTACATCCTCCTTTTTGATACAATCACCATAAATAAAGTAAATTGGCACAACTTGGCAACAATTTTAGTAATACATATGGCCAGTCCAATCTAGTATTTAAATACATATATATAAGCCAATAATTAGCATAAAATTCAATAGAAAACTGCATACAGGCTTTAAAAAGAAATTTCCAATTGAAAAAATTAAGAGTAACCAATAAAAGTTTCCCATAATAATATAACTAATATGTTTTTTTTCAAAATTTTACATGGATTACCTTGTTTATGAGTGTTATCCTCATAAGGATTTTAAGAGGTGAGTACTTTTATTATTTCCATTTTTTTTTCATGAGTGGAGGAAACAAGCTCAAAAGGATTAAGAAGCTTGCTCAAGGTTATAGGTAAAGGTTGTAGTAGAATCAGGATTCAGTCCAAGCAGTATGACTGCGGAGCTGATGTTCTCAACCACTGTCCTGTGAGGCCTAAGCTGCACTCATGAAATGCAAATAAGATGATTTTTTTTGTTAACCATCAAATTAGTCCAGTTTATAAAAGTTTAATCATATCTCAAATCTGATCACTGGTCAACATTTCCATGGATCTTGTAACCCAGGTCACATCATCACTTACCTAGAACTTCCTGATTACCTACTAATCTCCCTGCATCCAATTCTGGCCAACTATAGTCCATTTTCCATAGAATAAACAAAGAGATAATTTAAAGCCTAAG